ACACAGAGTTTGACATTTTATGCAATTTTTGTTCAACCTGTCAACTCAATAGGACCTAGTGATGTCACCAAAATATCAGACTTAAGGAGACCGTGTCAGCAACTTAAAAAATTGCAGGGAAAAGAACAGAAAATCAAGGATTTTAAAATGCCTACCTGCAGTGTTTTTCCTTTCCATAAATGTTTAATTCACTTGCAATGTGCCTCTGAATTTGCTAGAAAATCTGACTACTCAAAGAAAAAATTCCTTATCACAGCCCTCGTCTTCAGGAAATGTCTAATTGCTGTCTGTGCTGGCCTGCCTCCTCCACCCTTTCCCTTACCAGCTACATAAGATTTTATGTAGCTGCCAGGCAGTAGTAAAGGGGAATACTATAGAGTGTCACCTGAGTGACTTAAAATCAAAGATGGATCCCAGTAGCCGTTTCAGGGCTTTAGGAGGTCTACATAAGGGAGACGTTTGCAGGTAAATAATGTATTAAATGCCCATATAATATTATGGGAGGGAAGATTTGTGTTCAAACAAATGGTTTGGCAACAGGGTCTCTATTATGCAATGCTAGCCTTAAACATGGCAATATGCAGGCAATGCCAACCACTTTCAGGTACATTTCCTTTGTAAAAATGGCCAAAAGGCTTTTCATCTGCATCCTGTCCAGGAGAGTAAAGGCCAAACTGTAAGCCAATTCGACAGGAGAATTATGGGTGCGTGAAAAACACTCCCCATAATTCAAGCCAACCTGTGACAAAGAAGCTGTCACATGTCAGCTCAATAGATCGGGAATTCAGCAAATACCGCCAATCGCTGACTTCCCGATCCTCTCTTTTTTTGGCCAGGCAGTGTGTGTGTATTATATAGTATATTATATGTCATATAGGAGAATTAATACAGAGTAAACTAGAAGCCTTATCTGAAATGTCAGTGCTACCAAAAGTTCCATCTTTGATTGCTTTGTATTTTGCAGAGTGCGCATACTATATATTTTTAGTTTGCTTTAATACAGACTTGCCTTTGGTTTATTTTTATTTTTGTGCTGGAAATACGAGTTCCCGTGTCTTCCGCAGCCTGCACTTTTTCACTGTAACAAACTGAAAAGGTGACTGGTGCTATTAAAAAAAATAATAAAACCATAATTCAAAGATGTCATATTCAAGGTCAGTTGCCATATTGTTCCCGGGGAAAAGGATTTTCTGTTTTTTTCCTATTTTTTTTAAAAAAAACACAATAGCTTTCTAACACAACAAGGTTTTAAAGGATGTTTAAGCTAGAACTTCTGCTGCTTCTCATAACTTTGTGTACATTCGTAAGATATTTTATCGCACTGGGAAAAAAAAGTCTTCATCTGAGTCAAAAAGTCTAACTTAAGAAACCAGATAGGGTTTTCAGCCAGGGAAACACGTGCACACACACTTTGGGGTTCAGGTGCCATGGCACTAGCACCGCTAGATGGCACTGACGAGTACAGGAAATTCCTATACCTGTCAGCACCATCTAAGGGCACTACCTATACACCAGGCGGGACTTTTATAAATTATCCCTTGTGTCCATCATGCACTGGAAAAAAAAAAGTAGTTAAATAATCAAAATACATAACATTTAACGGAACAAAGCAAAGGTGACTTTACTCTCTCTGCATGTATATTTTAATGAAAATGAATATTTACTGCCATATTTAAAGTGTATCCAAGCCAAGGACAAAAATCTGTAATATATTGCAGCTTACAAGGTTTGCTTAGACATGGTGGCTGCATTCATTTTTTTGGGGGGGGGGGGGGGGGGGGTTCTTTTTTTTGTAGCTAGTGATCCTGCCAGTAACACACTTCCTGTCCTAGGGGGACAATACTATATCTGTAGAGGAACAGCGTTGCCCCACTAGTACAAGAAGTGTGTAGTGTGAAGTGGGCAGGGCTGACAACAATGCAGAGTGCACAAGACAGCACAGGATTTCCATCAGGAACAAAAGCAACTTTAGAACATGAAAGAAATATAACAAGATTTGTGTTAGTGCTATATTTAACTGACTAAAAGGGAGTTGTTCTGTAGTCCACAGGGAAGAACTGGGCAGGGCTGATAACACTGCTTGGGATTTCAGTGCTGCAGAGGCGGAGAGCATAGGAAGTTAGAAGCACACTGGACTTTTGGCAGATCAAGTACAAAAGAGAGACAAAACATGGGAAAATGTGCATGCATTGCTGAGATATACTGAATGTGATTAATGTTTTATTTTGCAATGATGTACATTTTAACAAACAGGATCTCACCTCTTCCATAAGTGGTCCTAAACTCAAAACGTGCAGGTTTGCTCTGTTATGGGGCACATAAAGAAAGACATTCCCTAAAAAACCTCCATAATTCTTGAATTCCTCCTGAAGCGCAGCAGGGGCACGTCCTGGTATCTTAAGGTACCTACAGCCTAATAGTTTTGTATATGTAGTGTGAGATCTAAGGCACTGCTGCCTCTGACTGCACGTGTCAAGAGATTTCAAGTGAGATTTTGGAAGACCATTATTGTGCTGCTCACTATTCTCCTTGCTGGAGGCTCTGACATGAGAAAGCAAAGCCCTGCCTCTACCAAGGTGGCCCCCTCCATACACTACAGAATAAGGCACTGTAAGTCAGGGGAATAGGTCAGCTGCAGGGAGACCGTAGGCAATGCTAATAACTAGTGTAACCCCTGCACAGTTGCTGCATTGCTAAAGCACTTCTCCCTGCAAGGAGTTAATCACCACAGTTTGCACAGATAGTGTTAAAGCTGTGAAGAGACTCGATTGGCTGACACATGCTTGAGATCACTTCAGTCTGAGCCAGGGAGAGACTGTACTACTGTTCCCAGGAGGCTTTGGGATCTGCAGAAGGAGTGAACTGGACTGGATCGATTGAGCGTGCTCAGACAGCAGGGAGGATGCAGAAATATCCGACATACCGTTTTGAGTTGCCTGCCATTATTACAGGGAGAGGGCATACAGGTGAAACTCGAATAATTAGAATATCATGCAAAAGTAATTGCAGTAAGTGCTGCAAAAGGGGCCCAAACCAAGTACTGAGTACATATGCATGCTTGTACTTTTCAGAGGTCCGATATTGTTCTATGTACAATCCTTGTTTTATTGATTGCATGTAATAATCTAGTTTTTTGAGGTTGTGGATTTGGGGTTCTTGGGGTTTTCATGAGCTGTAAGCCATAATCATCACAATTATGACAAATCACGGCTTGAATTATCTTGCTTTGCATGTAATGAGTCTATCTCATATATTAGTTTCACCTTTTAAGTTGCATTAGTGAAATAAATGAACTTTGCACGATATTCTAATTATTTGAGTTTCACCTGTAAACTCTGTAGTGAACTACCCTGATCCCCAACTGACTTGTTGCTCTAGTGCGGGATAAATGCTCTGCATGCTCTTTCCTGCCTGGTGACTCCTGAATCATATTAGTGTTCTTCTGGGTTTCCCACCTGTACTTAATAAAACATTTAAAGCCGCTATCCACCTTATCAAATTGCCAGTGTTTTATGTTTCTTAACACTAGTCGGTACAATCAAATAAACCATGGCTTCTATGTAGTAGAGTTTGGGAACAGCAAGAACAATTAGTGGCATCAAAACAAACCAAAAATACAGCATTGCCTTCTAAAAACAGTAAGTAACTACATGTCACACAGCTTCATCGTTCTAGAGGGAAACAAAGATGCCTAAAAGTAAAATATTTATTTTCTTTTGCATTATCCATATTTTATATTATGTGTATGCCATCTTGCTGAAACTGGTAATCGGCATTAGTGGGAGGTGTGGTACCATCTGTGGAAAGTGATAATCGTTTCCTCAAAGGAAGTTCTCTTTATTTATTTTTGTTCTTGGTCACGGACTGGGCATGTATTAGGAGGACAGTTCTATGTCCACACAATACTCCCGCTCTCCTGCTTATTTAAAAACCACTTACGGCTTCTTTTAAAAATTGCTGCTGTCCAAATATGTGAGGAGAGAACCCAGGGTAGAACTGGGAGGAGCCATACTACACTCTGCAGTGATAATCTAATTTCTTCCATGCTAATTTAGGAGCATAATGACATACTAAGAATGAGGTGCAGTAAAGCCTATGACTTCTAAGCTGTTCAGCCAGCAGAACTGAAGCCAAGAGGTCATAGAGAGCTCCAGGTGCACTATTCTAACTCACAATTTCAGAATGTTTGTTAGAAATGTAAATGTAAGTATTTGTCAACCCCTTAAAGTTCTTTGTATGTTCAAATCTTCAAGGACTTTTAAACAACCTTTTGTCTATCAGCCGCCTCCTGGCTTTTATGTAAAAGTGGTCTGAACTCTGGGGGAAATATTAGCGATGTAAACAGACCACTGGTATTTCCCTTTTAAAATAGAAAAAGAGATCGACACAGAGCCCTCAATCTCTTTTTCTGCAGCCCCTGTTATAAATGAACAGGAAGACACCATATTGAGTCTTCCTGTTCATTCATAACTTGGGGAGATAGTATGTTTACCATGTCCACAATCATGAATGAACAGGAGGTGATGTAGATCACTTCCCATTCATTCATAATTGAGGATATAGAAAACATACTCTGTCCTAAATTATATGCAGTCAGCGATCACTGATGTTAACATCTGAGGTAAAAAATTTAAAGAAATGCAAAGTGGTTAAGATTCCCATCCACTGACATCCTGGAAAGGCAAGTCCAGGGAAGAGGCTCACTAACAGGAGTGATCTGCTAAAAACCATTCCACAACATATGGTGCCATAACCTTTAAATTCCGAAAATAGTCAAATGTTGTATAAATTAACTGATAAGGTTGAACACTCCGTAAAGATGATGCAGCTCCAATTACAGAATAAAACTGGTTGGCTACAACAGCTACTGTAGATATATGCTTATACTCTATAAATACATCTTCTAGACAACAAGTTAATAATGGCCAGTAAAACATTACATGAATTCTTAACATTCCATGAAGGAAATAAAACAAGAATAAAATTACTGAAAAGTAAACCTGTTATATCGTGCTCCTTGAAAGACTCATGGTAGATCTGATACTGGCTTGGACAGTGCTTCTTCAGCCACTTACACACGTCGTGTTGTGTCCAGAATGCTACGGGTTTGGTTGCTTTAAGTATAGTGGGCTGCAAACAAAAAAAAAGAAAACACTTTCGTTATAATTTTTCATTTCAATTGGGGGTTTGAAGAGTTGTTAAAAGGGACACCATGAAAAGAAAAAAAAGTATTGAGAAGGGCAGAATATGACAACTGTACATGTGGAAGACAAAGAGGTGTGGACTTCAAGTTGAGGGAAACAGTTCAGCTTAACACTCTTAATAACTAATTATTTTGCTGTACAAGAGGAAAAGCAACTGTAGCCAAGTTTTTAATGGCTTAAAGAGACACTAAACTCAGGAGTTGAATCTTAAAAATGCATTCAAGTACAATAACTTTTGACAATACTGTATCTAAATTTGTGTATCACTCGGCTGTAGATCCTCAAATCATCTCTGAATTGGTGCCGACACTGTCCTTCCTTCTGGAGGGGGGCTACTTTTGTTCCCCATGGTCCTGGTGTGTGTTGTATAGTAGCCACCGCTCCAAGACCACTCCCGTGATGGAGTACAATCTCATGTTTAGTATTGATGTCCATCATGGGAGGCAACTTACGACAGGTAAGTAATTTGCACAAGTTACTGGCAGGATCACAAGGTGAAAATAAAAGGGAAAAAGCATTAGGCAAACTACTGTAGCCACCACATCTAAGAGCTTGTATGCAACAATGAATTCCATTTTTGGTTATGAGCTTAGATATGTTCTACAGCAGTGGTTCTCAACCTGTGTAACCTCAGGACCCACATTTGTCCTTGGTCATTAAGTCACGACCCAAGTCGCACTGCAATGGAATGCATGGCATTGCAGTATTGGGCATTTGGGTGCAGGCTATTGGACTGTGGATGGGAGGTGCATTTGGGATGTCATTCAAATAAATGGCAACACAAAACACCTTCCACACCAGAATGCGCAGTGGGTACAATTGCGTGGTACAGTGCATTAATCATATGGGACTGTGCAATTAACGCACTGCACTAGTGTGAAAGGGCCCTCAAAAACAATGACAGACACAATCTCACACTCACAGACATTCTCACATGCAAATACACACACTTCTTTTTTTTAAGATCCACCCAGTCTCCCTACCTTACGAGAACTGGAGTGAATCCTCAACCTGGGGTCCAGTGTGGGCTGCTGTGCTGTGATGGAGCTCCATTCATATGTGCATTGCTTGTACAGCTCCCTTGCGTGCCCTGTAGAGGGGCAGGAGCCAGAATGTGACACGTCATTCCAGTCCAGGCACCTCTACAGGACACACGTGGGAGCTGTAAGCAATGCACATATGGATGGAGCTCCCTTTTTGGCCATACTTCCAGCCCACCCCACCTCCAGCATATTTTGAATGGCTGCTCGGCGCGAGAACTGACAGTGCTGCGCTAGGGGGAGGCTGAGGAGTCTTTCACCTAGAAAAGTGGAAGGCATGTGGCGACCCACTAAACATGGGGTCGCGACCCACTTTTGAGTCCACTAAACATGGGGTCGTGACCCACCAGTTGAGAACCGAGGTTCTAAAGCAAACCGCTAAATAACGATTAAATACATATATGGGAGCTGTTTATTTCCAAAAGGATTTACATTTCTGTCCATCCAATCTTAAGATCTATGCACCCTTCACACAGCACAGCCAGGCGGATGAAACCACCATCAGATGAGGAGTAAACTGGTGTCATCTCTCCAACCCCGCCCCCCCCAGCCTACTGACTGAACAGGAAGAGCAGAAGAAGCAGCAAACAGATGAGGTCATCTCCCTGCTAACTCTGCTCTCTTGTTCATTGTCAGCATCTGCATTCAGCACCCCTGACTGGCTATTGGTCCTGCCCCTCTTCTCCCAATCTGAGTACTACGGTATAGGGGATTGCAAGAGGCTTGTGGCACGGCAAAGTCAAGAGCCCACACTAGCTGCATTCAAATAAATAAATGTAACGATTTATTAATAAATAAGGAACTGCATTTATTTGTGTCTTTCATATCTGCCTGGAGTTCAGCTTTAAGAAGTCCCTGACCTGCTAGTCTGGAAATGATGGGATTATCATAGGCACAAACAATCAATTTACACAAGGCTTCAGACACAGAAGGGATTGAGTTTTGATTATTATCAGAAAGGTTGTTTTTACACACTATGCCGGGGCACAATCTGGTATGCAATTTAGTGCACCAGAGCAGTTTTCACTGTATCAATGTGACGTTTTTCCGATAGGAAGATGGATTCCAGAAGAATATTATGCAACTTGTAAAGGTGAGCCTTATTTGATAAAACATTGTCCATCCATATTTAAAAGGGAATATAAGACAGCGTTGTCTTTTGTTGACTTACAGATACAGGAACATATAAGCTTATTACAACATTTTTGTTTAAATTAAAGTAAAACATTTTATTGCAGTGTTGCCTAAATCGTACGAGCCCCATTTGTACCATTTCTCCTATCTTCAAATATTTTATAACTGAAGCATTGGGGCCCACAACAACATTTATTCATTCTGCTTGTTCATTTCGGGATAAGTAGCTCTCAGAAATTCCAAGTTATGGTTATTTTACAACGGCAAATTCCTTTATTAGGCTCATGATTGGTTCTGTTTTTCTTATTTTAAACTATATGCTTTTATTCTAATGCTGTTTTAGATTAGGTTTAATCTCAAATGGCTAATCTCCAATTACTGGTGATCCAGCAGTGTTTTGCTGTAATTTCAAAGTCAATGAATAGAAAAAGAATCACTTTATGGAGTGACACACTGCACACTTCCCGTACCGGTGATTAAAGGTGAACTTTATTATTATATACCTCTTACCTCTATAGGGGTAATGGAGTAGAGCCCCTGCTGTCACCTTCTTATCTCTGTGTAGGCTATAGACCTGGCATGTGTGACGAAGGGGAACAAAGTTAATTCCTCCCCAAGTAAGAAATTTAAAGGCCATTTTGTGGCAACCAAAAAAAGTACCCTTGAAATGAAGCTACCCCTGCACTTCAAAGGGTAAGTTCTAATTTTTTTTCTAGGGAACTGGAGTAAAACAGATCTACTTAGCTAATCCCCGCTCAGCCCCCTTGGGGCTGCTTGATTGGTTTCTGCAGCCTCTTCTCCCCTGGACTCCAGAGCTCTTGGGACCACTAAGGTCATCACATCTAATGCAGGTTCCATAGACCTGCATTGCATTAGATGTGAGGACACTGAGAGACAGTAGATCAAGTGGAAGAGTAGAAGAGGACAGCAAACGGCAAGGGAGCGGGGATCAGGTACGTAACTCTGCTTTACTCCAGCCCCTAGAAAAAAAAACAGCACTCAACCCTTGCAGTGCGGGGGTAGTCCCACGGCAAGGGTGCCTATTTTGTTTGCTCGCAGATGGGCTTTAACTGTTTCAAAGTGCTGTAGTATAGTTTATCATGCCATCTCTCTCTCTGTCCCTTAATAAAAATGGGCAGACAAAGATGGATACTTTGGGAAAAAGCAGTGTTTTTGCAGCAAGGCTTTGTCAGACATCAATGGGAAAGAACAGTGGTCACTGGGTGGAAAATCATGGGTTTCTGTGTTCCCAGTTCCTTTACGGTAAACGCGACTGTTAATAACAACCTGGGTCACAGCAAGTATACAATGTAGGTGAGCACAAATAGTTATTACAGATTGCATCCATAATACAATGCGAAGCATACTGGACTTTCTGACAAGCAAGCCCAGCATTTCCTGTATGCTTTGACAGACTGTATCCATTTATTTGTTAAGATGATATAGTCTCTGCAGACAGAGGTAGGGCAGGGTGTGAACTTCCAATGACTCCTTCAGACCTTATGTTAGCACAATAGCTGGTATATAAAGCTGGATATAAACTGGTAGATTTTCGTATTAATGTTCATATAAGAAATAATCATATAAGAAATCTCATCAGAACATTCAATAATGCAATCACAACGTCGTGTTTGGAATGAACAAAAACCACATTCACTGTTAGCATTTTATTCTTTCTAGAAACATTTTCCATCCTGCCTCTTCAATTTCTTCCGGGACTACAGTCCAAAACAATCAGCGATTTAACCCCATTAACTATTGGAAAATCAAACAAAGGTTTCAAAGATTTTTTTTTAGCCAAAATCCTACTAGTGTATGGCCAGCTTCAGACCTCAGCTGCTCATCCTTACAGCTCCATTTCTTGGATAGAAGCAATGATAAATCAAATATATAAAAAAAAACATAGGCGCTCACAAGACTTGAAAGGAGCCACAATGTGCATTCAAACAATTTTACTGAGTGTCCACTTTTACTCAGTAAAATTGTTTGAAAGCACACCGTGGCTCCTTTCAAGTCCTGTGAACTCGTCTCTTCATCTATTAGTATATTATGTATTTTTTGTAGTATATCCAGACATATTTCATTCTATCGTGTGCAGGGATCACCTCTCTGTATATTTACTGACACTCACATACACAGCTGCATGCTTTAGCTTGAGCACCCTGGCCAAATTATTGGTTAATTTTGTGAAAAGGAAACAACTGCTGCAGGAAACACTGTGTTAAGGTGCCCACACACCTTACGATAATCGTACGATAATCGCGGGAAATCCCGCGATCGTACGATTATCGTAAGGTGTGTGGGAGCCGTGCGACCTCTGCTACTGTAAGGTCGCACGACTTTTATCTTAGGAACATGTTCGAAAACCCGCCGAGAATCGTAAGATTTTCGGCGGGTGTGTAGCATGTTCGTAAGATAAAAGCCCGACAGGCCGGTGTGCGCAAGCGAACACTGCCCGTTCAGCATTGCGGTCATCGGAAGCCCGCCCCTCAGCGGGGCGGGCTTGCGATCATCGCAAGTACGATCTGCCTGTCCAAGATAGGCAAAACGTACGTTTTTTTAATTACCTTACAACCATCGCAAGACAAAAGTCTTGTGATGGTTGTAAGGTGTGTGCCCAGCCCCAGAAAACAACATGTTTGCAAACAGTTACAGTACATTTTAGTTCAAACACTTACACAAACACTTCATACACTGAGACATAGAAAATGGTAATTGTGGCATGTGCAAAAGTATGAACAATCATCTATGT